TTGTACTGAGGGTGCATTTATTGTGAAATATTCAGTTATCGCGTTTTGGAGGGTTTCGATGTTGGCTGGGTTGTGCAAGAGTGTGGGGTTCAGACGCCATGTCCAGGGTCGCGCTATATTTGGTAAGTTTATTGTTAGAGTAATGTCTGCGTGATCAGACCATGTAATCGAGCCTATCTTCGTAGTTTTGATGTGTTCTGTGAGGGATGGGGAGGTGAGGAACATATCTATTCTGGAGTGGGAGTGGTGAGGATGTGAATAAAAAGTGTAGTCTTTCGCTTTGGGATGTTGGATTCTCCAGATGTCGAGTAAGTTGGAGTCGTTTGCGAAAGCGAGTAGTAGTTTATCTGCTTTGGCTGTCGGTGGTTGATTGCGTGTGGGTGGTCCGGTGCGGTGTCTATCCTGGGTTGGTTGCATTGTGTCGTTAAGATCGCCGCCGATAATTAGGTGGTGCGAGGGGAAAAGTTTGAGGTGGGCCTGCATGGATGTGAACGTGTATCTTTGGGGACCTATGCGACCTGCGATTGTCAGATATCTTCCCTGCGGGTCCACATGTGTTTGTGTGACGTGTAGGGGGCATGATTTTCGAAGCATAATCGCCACTCCGTTTTGTTTGCCTGTGGGGAGTTCGCTGTGTAGTACTTGTTATAGTGTCGGCTTAGGAGGGGGAGTGGTTTCTTATGGGCGAAGTGAGTTTCCTGGAGGAGGAGTATATCGGCTTGTGATCTGTTTGCCCATCTTAAAAATTGGTGTCGCTTAGAAGGGTTGTTCAGGCCTTTGCAATTGATCGAGATACATGTTAGGGTGCTGGGTGTGGTGGGTGTGTTGGAATGTAGATGTCAGGGTTTTGGATTGGATGTTGGAGTGTCTGTCTGGGCCATTATGAGGTGTGGTGCCCGGGGGCAGGAGGATGGGGGACAGGCCTACTGTGTTGTGGAGTAGACGGTAGGGTTGGTGAGTTGGAGGTGGCCTGTGTAGGAGGGGGTAACTGTTTGGGCAGGGGTCGGGGTTTAAGGCGCTGAGGGAGAAGGGAGAGGAGAAGGGTATGGGGGGGTAGGAGTATGCGGGATTTAGGAGGGTCCCTGGTCTTACCTAGGATGTGCCAGGTGTAGTGTGGGCGGAGTGTGCCTGGCTTTAAGGTATGCAGGGAGAGATGTGGTGTATATGATGTTGCCCGGAGGCTGCTGGTTATTGGTTTTATGGGTGGCGAGGAGTGTGTGGTGGTTTGGTTCAGTTGGCGGGGGAAGTGGACCAGAGGGTGTCGAGCCCACTCCCCTGGGGGTGTTGCGTGGTCATCTTTTAATGTAGCTTCTGTTGTAGGTGTATTGATTATACCTCTGGGAGTGTTCGTCCGGGGGGATCTGGGGAGGTCCAGTAGGGGTGGGGTGTGGGATTTCTGGGTGCGTTAGTCTCGTGTGCACGGATTTGTCTCATGGTCCTGTGGAGTGCGCGTGGGCCTGGTGGATGGTCCAATTGTATTGTTGTGACGTTGAGGGGTATATGGGTGAACGTTTCAGTGGATGTTTCTCTGTTGTGTGCAAGTGCGGGTGGGGTCTACCCCCGTGCTCCTTGGGTGGGGGTGGTGAGCCGGGGCGGCGGAGCCAATGGAGTACCCGGTGTGTCCTGGGCTCCTGTCCCCGCATAGCTCCTTGCGCTGCGGTGATTGGGGGGTGTTCGATGTCGGCTAATAGGGTTTTTCGTGTGAAGAGTTTGCTGAGCATGGTGGTGTTTGGGGCCCCGCGGGGGCAGGAGTGTTGTGCGTTACCTTAATGTAGCGTAAGGAGGCGTATGGTGGCCTGGGGTGTGTGGTCCGGGTGCGGCTGTCTCTCTGTCGGGGGTCTGGTTTCTAGGCCCGGTCGTTTGTTTTCTCCCATCTCCCTGAGCCAATCTGCCGCAAGGGACCGAAACATCAACAGAGACAACAGTTTGCATAACAAGATTAACATTTAGATAAATGAAACATTTATAGGTAGCTGAGTTGTTGAAGTGTGGCGGAGCCCCCCCCCCCCGGCCCCCCACAGCCCCCGTCAGTGCGTTTGTCAAGTGGGGTTAGTCGTTGCGTTGGAGCAGTGGGGGGGCGGGGGGGCCCCCCAGGTCCCGGCTCTGCTGTGTCTCCATGGGTCTCGGGGTGCGGTCGGTCCATCCCAGGAATCCCAGATGGGTCTATGGGTGGGTGGGTCTGGTCGTTTGTTCCCGTCTAGTGCCCAGATGGGGGTGCGGGCCGCTGTTGCAGTGTGTGGGGGTTAGCCCTTGCGGGTTGTGTTACTTGAGTACCGGGTGTCGGTGGATGCCGTCTGTCTCGTGTTGCTGTCGTGACCTAGAGTCGTGTGTGGTTTGGCGGGTTAGGGCTGAGTGGGGGCTCGTCTAAAGTGATGATGGTGTCGGGGCAGGTCCCGTGCTAAGAGTCAGGGAGAGGTGGGTCTTTTGTCTGAGATCGTCCCGCCTCCTCTCCCACCACCCTTGTCCACTCCCCTCCTCCTCCCCTCCGTCTCCCTCTCCCACCCTGTGGGTTTGCTGTTTCCCCTTGCATGCCTCCAGTGAGTCTGGTTCAAGCAGTAAATTAAGCATAATACAATAGAGTTGTACGAAATAACTTTTTCAACCATTAAAATCCCAAAATCTTTCGGGTCCCCGAAGTGTCTGATATTAAATACATTGTACCGCTGGGTTCAACTGGTTCGGGTGCTAGCTAGTGGGGTCCCCTACTGCAGGTTGATGGGCTCGTTAGGTAGCATTTTTTGGGGGGTTGTGCTCGGGCCGGACGGCTTCTATTTGGGTACGGGAGTCGGGATATGGCCGTCTGGTCTTGCATGCTTGGGGTCTGTTGTGAAGCTGGAGCCACAGTCATGTTGCCCGCTACATTGGTGGGGTGGCTGGGGTAGGTGAGCTGCTCGGCTAAGGCCCTAAACGGGTGTCTTATGGCGGGAGGAGGGGGCTTTCACCAGGTCTGCCTGGGCGTGCTGGTGAGTTGGCTTAGCGGCATGGGGGCAGAGTTAGGCGACCTGTTTAGGGGGTATAGGATGGACCGTTATCGAGGTCCGGGTAGAGCTTGGGTCGTTGGAGGGGGGCTTGGGGTAGCAGAAGGATAATTTGGGCTACTTTACCAATATGGCGGAACAGCCGTTCTGTGATTGAGTCCATTGGCTACAGGTAAGTCCCTCAGGTTGTTTGTGGTGCTTGGTCTTTGGGGATTGGTGCCGGTCTTTTTCTGGCTTGTTGGCGGGGTGGTAGTGGTTGGTTATCCTGTGTGTGCCATGGCTGTAGTCCGGTTTCTGCGGTGTCTGTTTCAGGTGGCAGTGTGAGTCCCAGCGATAAAGCGAAGTCCACCATGTCGGTGACTTGGAATAACGTGTGCGACTGGTTCTCTTTTCTTGCGATCAACTTGAAGGGGTGTCCCCACATGTAACGCCAGCCGTGTTGTGTCAGGGCTGCGGTGAGTGGTTTGAGTTCCCTGCGCTTCTTTAGCGTTGATGGTGCAAGATCTTGGTAAAACTGAATCGGGTGGCCCTGTACTTGGGGAGGTTGGGCCCTGGCTATGCTCATGAGACATTCCTTGGCCGCGAAGTGTAGCATCCGCAGGACCACATCCCTTGGCGGGATTGAGCATCGAGGGCCGCAGTGTCCTGTGGGCCCTTTCGATGGTAAGCTCGTGGTCCGGCACTTCAGGCAGCATGGCTCTGAACATGTCCCGGATAGTGTTGTGCAGAGTGTCTGCAGTTATGGATTCTGGGAGGCCGCGCAGCCGGATGTTGTTCCAGCGGGAACGGTTATTTAGGTCCTCCATACCATCTTCCAAACGGCGAAGTTTGTCGTGAAGTGTGGTTAGTTCATTGTCGTGGAGTTGTGACCGTTTGGAGATTTCGGTGAGGTGGGATTCTGTTAGGCCTGTGCGGGTGGTAAGTGCGTCGAGGTCGGCCCGCAGGCCCGTTAGGTGCCTGTCGAGCTCCGCTGCCGTGTAGGCCTTGATCTCGCTCGTGGCTTCTTGAAGAAGGGTGCGCAGACCTTTTTTGGTCAAAGGGGCATTTGAATCTGTGCGGCCGTCGTTGCCTTCAGATTCAGAGCCGGAGTCCTCTGGGCCTTGTGTCCAAGATGGGGTCTGGTGATCTGTGGTGGCGCGGAACATCGTGGCCACTGAGGGTGTTGATTCCCTTTTTTTCCGGTTGCCTCCCATTAGATGTGGTGGTCAGGGGTTGTTTGTGTGTCTGGGGGTGTTGAGGTGCCTGGATTTTGAGGTATAATTGCGGATGGATGCGGATTTAGTACCCAGGGGAGAGAGAGCTCAGGGTTTACACGTCTGGTTCCATTGACGGTCAGGCTCCGCCCCCAAACCTTAACAGATTTAATGAGCCATTCGCAGTTTCACAGTACAGTGACCGGGACCCAGACACTGTCTGGGCGGCGGTCGGATGACCGGGACTCAGCATGCCTGATATAGAAGTTAGGAGTCACAGTGTGAAATGGATTAGCAGGGTCTGGTGCAGGGTAACCGCATGCCCCCTGGTGTTGAGCACCAGCCTTTGTTCGGCCACATACCAGGACCCTGATGCAGCTTCAGTAAAAAGACCACTGGCTACCAGAAGCCATCACCAGACTGATCCGCAACTTGGAACAGGATGTAACATGCACTATAGTGGCTGTGCGCACTTTCAGCGTTCTCACCCTGCTGCTGCCTGCCTGCCTGTCTGCGCTGCAGCATAACTTTGGCCTTCCTGCTCACTGCCTCAAATGCGACATGCCCACAAGTTGGAACTCCACCTTGCACATGTTGAAGAGACTGTTTGAGCAGCAGCAGGCGATAGTGGAGTTTCAGCTGCAGCACGCACGGGTCAGTGGCTCTGCACCAGACTCCCCTCCAATTGATCAGAGTTAAAGGATTTCAAGTGGACTCATTACAATTACAAGGCCTCAAAAGAGTCCTGTATTGTTATTTGTCGTCACTACCTTCCTGCATCGTGAGTGGGTCATTTGCACGCCTGCTGCCGTTTGTCAGGGTCCCTGTACGGAATCAAACCCTGATTCCCCGTTACCCGTGGTCACCATGGTAGGTACAGTCAAGGGTATCAAAAGTTGATATGGATTGACATACGAATGCATCGTCGGCTTCTCGTTGGGGAGCACATTGAAAAAGTGCTCTAGCATGACGAGCTGGGTGATCTCCTCCGGGAACTTGGCTTGATGGGAGTTGAGCCAGTTCTGGCGGCCCTTGTGATGCCACGGTGTATACCCAGATTTATCAGAAAGTGCGGGCCGTCTGTGCACTCTTTTGGCGTTCTGTCTGCACTGCAGCGTAACTTCGGCCTTCATGCTCATCGCCTCATGAGACTGTGCAAGCAGCAGCAGCCGATAGTGGAGTTTCAGATGCAGCACGCATGGGTCAGTTGCTCTGCGGAAGAGTTTTCTTTTTTTATATGTCCCAATATTTTGGAGGCTACCCCAATTAAAATAAAATATATATATATATATATATATATATATAAACAGTGATGGCTACCTCCTCCTCCTCCACCGCCGCTTCCACCTACACCGCCACGGTCACCGCCTCCTCAACCTATGGGTCACTTAGTATAAACTGTACACAATAGCAGAGGCTTGTGAAGGTTTTTTCTCCATGCATCAGGAGTTGAGCATTTCTCCATGCATCAGGACTGCAAGAAATGCACCGCAGGCCGCAAATGTTTCTTTTTTTATATGTCCCAATATTTTGGGGGCTACCCCAATTAAAAAAACAAAACAAAAAATAAATAAAAAACAGTGTTGGCTACCTCCTCCGCCTCCACCAACGCTTCCACCTACACCACCACGGTCACCGCCTCCTCAACCTATGGGTCACTTAATATAAACTATGTATACAATAGCAGAGGCTTGTGAAGCCCTTTTCTCCATGCATCAGGAGTTGAGCTCAGTTTGAACAATGAAAGAGAATACCCTGCACTCCAACCCTCTCTCAAATGGATAATTCTGGTGATCCTCCTGACAGTCATGCTTTAGATTTTGCTTTATGTTCTTCCAAAGCTAAAATCAAAGATTCCATCTAGTGCTATTTTAAGGCTCAGCTGTATTTTTAATTTTATGTTATTTTAAGTGATTTCCCTATCCACATTTGTTTGCAGGGCACTTGTCCTACTCTTACCCCAATTTCACTCCTTTTGCAGCCCTCTAGCCCTTCCCATGGCTTTTTTACAGGCATTTTTGTGGCCAAAAGTTTGGGTCCTCATTGACTTCAATGGTGTTTGGGGTCAAGTCCGAACCCGGAATTTTTTTCAAAGTTCGGCCGAACCCGCCGGGCCTGAACATCCAGGTGTCCGCTCAACTCTAGCTATAACCTCCTCTTTAAATCTTTAAAATCTTTAAACTTAAATTCAAGTCTAAAATTTAAATTATCAGCCGGTAACTAGAGGTTTTAGAGGGATCTTTGCATTCTTTTGGGATGAGAAGTGTGAATGCTTGGAGGAATTGCTCCTGTATTTGATCCGTCTCCAAAAAGATTAACATTGGTATAGGGGGTGGAGCCTGATAGCTGAAAAAGATGGTCAAAAGTAGCTGGTGCTCCTTGTGGAAACTCATTTACTAAGCCTAATCTTGGACCATAACAATATATTATTGCCCCAACCTGCTTATTCTTAACGAGGAGAAACCCATTGAGTGTTTGACCAACTTTAGCTCGATTCTGGTGGACTCACGCCATGAAAGAGTTTTCTGTGGCCTACATACATTCTTGAGGTGGGAGAGGTGTCTTATGTCCAGGTCTGTATCTGTCATTCTTGAGCCCTGTCGCTCCCTCTGGATTTGCGGGATATATCCTGGTAACCACTGGCTCTCATTCGTGGTCTTGTGGGAACAGTAATATCAAATACAGAAAAATAAGTCCTGCGCAAAGACTTCTGGGCGGCTGCAATAACCAAAGTACACATCAGCCCCAATACATAAAATAAAAATCAAAGTAAATAGTTACCTGAGCACTTCTCCAGATCCCTATGCATATTTAGACAAATGGAGATTTAGTGTTTCACTCCAATGGTCATTAGGTGTAAGCCCACCTAATATAATACTTTTCTTTGTTTTCTGTTGTATGTATTGAGGGTGATGTGTACTTTGGTTATTGCTGCCACCCAGTCGTTGAGAATGTTAAAGAGTTCTTCCAAATTGATACGGTTCAGATTTTCGAGAGCCGTGCTTAAAATGACCGTTATTGTACAAGTAAAAAAATCAAAAACAAAAAACCCAGGTTCTCATGCGTTGGCCGGGAATCGAAAACGGATCAACAGCTTGGAAAGCAGCTATGCTCACCAGTATACAATCAATGTTTTCAAGCTTTACCGACACCACAAGCCATACGGTCACATTTTCAGATGAGCTTCCTGATCTCTCAAGAATGGTTGCGTACTCTCAGTACACATTTCGCTGTTTCAAACTTTTCAAGCACACTGTTTATTCGAATAAGATGAAAAAAATCTATTGCAGAAATTTTAACTTGATTTGGACACCTCCCAAAAATTAGGTTCTTCCAAATTGATACAGTTCAGATTTTCGAGAGCCATGCTTAAAATGACCGTTATTGTACAAGAAAAATATTCAAAACAAAAAAAACTAAATAATTGTGAAATTCCACCACTCATTCATATCTGATCTATGTAGAGCATGATCCAGCACAAAATGTTGCTGATTCACCAACAAGAACAGTAACAGTCATTGAGAATGTTAAATAGGAACGTAAAATTTGCTGACTACAGTATCGTAAAATCAGGTTCTCTTGCGTTGGCCCGGAATCGAATCCGGGTCAACTGCTTGGAAAGCAGCTATGCTCACCACTATACCACCAACGCTTGATGTTTTCTAGTTCCACCGACACCACAAGCCATACGGTCACATTTTCAGACGAGCTTCCTGATCTCTCAAGAACAGTCGCCTAGTCTCAGTGCACATTTCGCAGTACTTTGCAAGCACTGTTTGTTGGAATAAGATGAAAAAAATCTATTGCAGAAATTTTAACTTGACTTGGGCACTTCCCAAAAATTAGGTTCTTCCAAACTGATACGGTTCAGATTTTTGAGAGCCGTGCTTAAAATGACCGTTATTGTACAAGAAATAAATTCAAAACAAAAAACCCCAAATAATTGAGAAATTCCGCCAGTCATTCCTATCTGATCTATGTAGAGCATGATCCAGCACAAAATGTTGCTGATTCATCAACAAGAGCAGTAACAGTCATTGAGAATGTTAAATAGGAACGTAAAATTTGCTGACTACAGTGTCGTAAAATCAGGTTCTCTTGCGTTGGCCGGGAATCGAACACGGGTCAACTGCTCGGAAGGCAGCTATGCTCACCACTATACCACCAACGCTTGATGTTTTCTAGTTCCACCGACACCACAAGACATACGGTCACATTTTCAGACGAGCTTCCTGATCTCTCAAGAACAGTCGCCTAGTCTCAGTACACATTTCGCTGTACTTTGCAAGCACACTGTTTGTTGGAAGAAGATGAAAAAAATCTATTGCAGAAATTTTAACTTGACTTGGGCACTTCCCAAAAATTAGGTTCTTCCAAACTGATACGGTTCAGATTTTTGAGAGCCGTGCTTAAAATGACCGTTATTGTACAAGAAATAAATTCAAAACAAAAAACCCCAAATATTTGAGAAATTCCGCCAGTCATTCCTATCTGATTTATGTAGAGCATGATCCAGCACAAAATGTTGCTGATTCATCAACAAGAGCAGTAACAATCATTGAGAATGTTAAATAGGAACGTAAAATTTGCTGACTACAGTGTCGTAAAATCAGGTTCTCTTGCGTTGGCCGGGAATCGAACCCGGGTCAACTGCTTGGAAGGCAGCTATGCTCACCACTATACCACCAACGCTTGATGTTTTCGAGTTCCACCGACACCACAAGCCATACGGTCACATTTTCAGACGAGCTTCCTGATCTCTCAAGAACAGTCGCCTAGTCTCAGTACACATTTCGCCGTACAAACAGTACAAACTGTGCAAGCACACTGTTTGTTGGAATAAGATGAAAAAAATCTATTGCAGAAATTTTAACTTGACTTGGGCACTTCCCAAAAATTAGGTTCTTCCAAACTGATACGGTTCAGATTTTTGAGAGCCATGCTTAAAATGACCGTTATTGTACAAGAAATAAATTCAAAACAAAAAACCCCAAATAATTGAGAAATTCCGCCAGTCATTCCTATCTGATCTATGTAGAGCATGATCCAGCACAAAATGTTGCTGATTCATCAACAAGAGCAGTAACAGTCATTGAGAATGTTAAATAGGAACGTAAAATTTGCTGACTACAGTGTCGTAAAATCAAGTTCTCTTGCGTTGGCCGGGAATCGAACCCGGGTCAACTGCTTGGAAGGCAGCTATGCTCACCACTATACCACCAACGCTTGATGTTTTCTAGCTCCACCGACACCACAAGCCATACGGTCACATTTTCAGACGAGCTTCCTGATCTCTCAAGAACAGTCGCCTAGTCTCAGTGCACATTTCGCAGTACTTTGCAAGCACTGTTTGTTGGAATAAGATGAAAAAAATCTATTGCAGAAATTTTAACTTGACTTGGGCACTTCCCTTGACTTGGGCACTTCCAAAAATTAGGTTCTTCAAACTGATACGGTTTCCAGATTTTTGAGAGCCGTTAGCAAATGACGTTATTGTACAAGAAATAAATTCAAACAAAAACCCAAATAATTGAGAAATTCCGCCAGTCATTCCTATCTGATCTATGTAGAGCATGATCCAGCACAAAATGTTGCTGATTCATCAACAAGAGCAGTAACTGTCATTGAGAATGGTAAATAAAAAACCCCAAATAATTGAGAAATTCCGCCAGTCATTCCTATCTGATCTATGTAGAGCATGATCCAGCACAAAATGTTGCTGATTCATCAACAAGAGCAGTAACAGTCATTGAGAATGTTAAATAGGAACGTAAAATTTGCTGACTACAGTGTCGTAAAATCAGGTTCTCTTGCATTGGCCGGGAATCGAACCCAGGTCAACTGCTTGGAAGGCAGCTATGCTCACCACTATACCACCAACGGTTGATGTTTTCTAGTTCCACC